CGGGGGAGCCGGGGCGGGACCGGGACCCCCGGCAGCCCGCACGCGGGGCGGCGGTCACCGCCTCCCGCCGCGCGGGCTCCGGCCGACGCCAGACCGTCGTCCCGCGTCCGGGTGGGAAGAGCGGCTGCGCTCCGGGCCCCGGGCGGGGGTGGGCCCCGTCGGCCCCCAGCCCCGCTCCCGCCCTGGCGCCGGCCCGACCCCACCCCACCTTCGCTTCCAGGTCCCCCCAACCCGGGCCGGGGCCGCAGCCTCCCAGTCGGGAGATGATGGACCCAACTTCTTGGAACGCTTTCTCAAAGAGCATTTCGCTTCCCGCTGGCTTGAAACTGTAACTTTAATTTTCGATGCGGTCTTAAAAACAAAACAAAACAAAACAAAACAGACATTCCTAGGCTTCCGGGAAAGACCGAGACTCCCAACTTGGGTTTTCCTGTCTTAGGTGTTTTACCACCATCTGGGTTTCTTGTTGCTCAAACTCGGAGTGGTTTGTATGATGCAACATTTTGGCTGCTCCGCTCGGTGCTGCTGCCTCGGGAAAGATTGTGCTCTTTTGTTTTGAAAGAAAAACTGATGAGGGAGAGAGTTTATAACTTGCTTGGGCTTTAAAGGGTTGGTGTTCCCCTCTGGTCTTTTCAGTGTTTATATCCTACCACCACCTTACTTGCTTACAAATACTACCCCTGTCTGTTTCGTCTTTTCTTTTACTATTTTCATTTTAGCAAAGGAGAGAGAGTAGAAGTTAGGAACATCTGGCTCCAGCTGCCTCCCTCAAAACTTCAAAATCCTTGAGATTCTCTTAGTCACTTACTTAAGCAGACTTCTTCAGAGCCAGGCTGTGAATTGGAAAGTTAGTAGGAATCTAGAAGAATCTTGTTCCTTTTTTTGTTCCCTCGAGTTTTTATTTTAAAGAAGGGGACACTTCGAAGGGTGTGTTTGAGAGATGGGAGGGAAAAATGATCCGAACAGTGTTTGTTTTAGGATTTTTTTTCAGTGACAGGGTTTAGAAGCATTTTGGTTTGGGGAACTGAAACAGCGGACCGGTATAGAACCCCCAGAATATCTTCAAAGATTCTGTTCGTTTGGGGGGCAGATCTAGAACTTTGAAGCACCGAGGATGTAGGAAGGAACCTGACATAAGACAAAGTAGGAGGGTGGAAGGCAGCATGGAGTGGGGAGAAGGGAGAAGGGTGGGTCGCAGATCAGTTCAGTGTTCAAAAAGTTTTCCTGAGCTAGGAATAGGAAGGAATTCCCATCGACTCCAAAAACAGTGCATCTGTTAAGTTCTAAAAAACCCCATGATACTTAACCTTGAAACTTTAGAAGTAGCATTAAATTTAGAATCAGATAAGGATACTATCAGTGATGGTTTCTTTGTAGCTTTATACTGTAGGTCCTAGCCAATACAACAAGACAAGAAAAAGAAATGAAGTGTATGAATTAGAGTGGACGAGATCAAGGCTTCGTGCTCTGCCTGCTATTAATTTAACCCTTCAGTTAGGAGAGGGGCATGTCACTTTGTTTCTGGAACTGGAGTTACTTCCTTACTGCTTCCCGGTTGTCCATGTTTGTGTTGGACGTGTATTCTTGTTCACTAAATAAAACTTGCAGTAACATCTGAAACGGTGGGTGAGGTGTGGTGATTATATTTCTTCTATGCATAACTATTAAAATAAAAAAGGTTGTGATCCACCTACAAGAGTTCAGCTTACCACTCATTGTCAGCCTGTCTCCCAGGACTTGGTGGCAGAGACCCAGGGTTCAAGTCATAGTTCTGCGCTCACTGGGCAGTTGTTTTCCCAACTGGAAGTTGTTTACTTCCTTCATTTGTGAAGCAAGAGGTGAGCTGTTTTCTGCTGCCCTGTGATTCTGCGTAGGTAAATCGGTGTACTGATATCAACCAGGATAGTTGTTTCAAAGGGGAAAAAAAGGGCCGGGTAAACGGTGGTGAAGAGTCTTCTTTTTCTTCTTTTTTTGGTAAACGGTTCTCTTGATTTCTTCTTGAAACCTATATATGGGAAATGCAAATGGGGGAAGATACCCTTGTAAGTATAGTTATTTTGAAAGCAGTGAGGGGGCAGAGGCCAGGGTTGTTCAGCATGGTATGTGAAACAGCGTTAATTATTCTGCCAGGAGGTATCCGAGTGTGTAGCCAAAAACTGTTATCTACACTTCAGGCACATGAGTGAAAAGGATATTGAGCTTACCCGTTTAGGTAGATTTAAATTTAAGAGAAATAGGCCAGGACCTTCCCAGCTAGTGTGACTGGACTCACAGCTACATTTTCTTTCTGTTTTTGGAGTTGTCTGCCCCTGAGCCTAGAGGCTCCTCATCACCTGTATAAAAGCAGTTCTCCATTTGGGTTTGTTGACCCCAACACGCAGAGGATAGGACACCCTCCCAACTGTGGGAGGGCCTTCTTCCCCCACCAAGAGGGGCCTGGTGCATGTATATTTTGATGTACCAACCCCAGTTGAGAACCACTAATCAACAGGAAGAAGTTCAGACCCTTTAGCAAAGGCATAAGGTCCCTTATAATTTGAATATAATGAAAATTTCTAATCCAATTTGTTCACTTACTAATTGTGTGTCTCAGGACACATTACTTAAAACTCTCTGTGCCTCATCTGTGCAGTTAGGATATTAATAGACCAAGCTCATAGGAATAAATTAGTTGATATATGGAGCATGTAATGAGCTTAGAACAGTATCTGATATGCAGAAAATAAATGCTAGTTGGGTGTCATTTTGTATGTGTGTATTTATATGCAGATCTCCCGTACTAGATAGAGCTTAAGTTTCTTTTTAAGATAAGGTCTATTTATTTTTCTAAGTGCCTGGAACATAAGACGGTTTGAATGTTTGAAATGAGATTGTTTCCTTTTTTTCTTAGCACTTTGCTGTTTATATATGTGTTGACGTGCTTTGGAATTGGGAACTACTTACTTAGATCCTCATAGTCTGAGTCTCAAACCTTGGTCCTTTGCCTCCAAAACCCTATGTGGTTTTATTCACCTACTTTTCTCCCCCCTCCAGTTGGTAGTGCTTCTAGTCTTTTCTTGTGTCTTCCGTGTTTTCCACCAGTATTTCTTCTTGGCCATGTTCAGAATTTGGGAACCAAGATTTCTGTATTAAGTAAAAATCTTAATTATTGAATCACGCAATGAGAGAAATTGAAAAGAGACTGGGTTTTTGTTTTTTTTCTTTGGCTTGTATAAGCCCAACTCCTATTGGCCCTGCTGTCTCCCCAGTCCCCACTGGTGGCTTTGGTTTGCTGTGATGGTAGTTCTGATCTCAGCATAGAAGGAGTCCCTTTGTAGACTTTAGTTTTGTGGGCTGGAATTTAAACTTGGTGTACGATTTTGAACTGGGACAGTCACTGTTGGCAGTGGTCGCTAAACTGCTGGGATTGGGGTGGTGGTTGTAAAAAATTAATCTGGTGCAGGGTGGCATAACACACAGGAATAACTGTTTCTTTTGAGCTATTTGGCAGGGTCTCCAGTGTGTGTGGACCCTGGAGCCAGACTGCTTGGCTGGAATCTGGCTTCTCGTAATGTATCAGGCAAGTTTCTTAAGTTCTCAGTGCCTCAGTTTCCTGACCTCTAATGTTAGGGTAATAATAACAACAATTTTATAGGGTTGCTGAGGGGATTAACTGCTAATCTCTGTGTATTAATTAGGGTAGTCTGAGCTGCCTTCCTAATAATGTTTATTTATTTATTTTGAGAGAGCACGAGTGGGAGAGGGGCAGACACAGAGGGAGAGAGAGAATCCCAAGCAGGCTCCGCACTGTCAGCGTGGTTGATCTCATGAGCCATGAGATCATGACCTGAGCCAAAATTAAGAGACACTTAATCGACTGAGCCAAGCCACCCAGGCACCCACCCCAAGGATAGACTATTGAAACCTAATTTAGGTTTTTGCTCATAAAATTTCTCCAGCCTTGTTTATTTTTCCAACACTTCCCTATTGTTTGGATTGCTGTCTATTCACCAACTTCTCAGTGGCATTTGGGAGGGTGTAGTTGAGTATACAGACGGGCAAACTGTCAACTGTTTTGCCAATATAGAGTGAGTTCTTTATATTTTGTATCAAAGGCGGTCTTCAACCTCCTTTTTCAATGCACATCAAATATGTTTTCTGTAAGAAGTGATGCGGAGAACTTTGTTCTGATAATTGAACAAAAACAAATTCAACATTAAGACGGTGTCACCTTGGATCTAACTGGTTTCCCATTCCTTTGAGGTTTCCAGAGGGGAAAATTCAGGAGATAGAAATGAATGAGAACTGTATTCTTTTTACATGTTGTGTGACCTGTTCCTGAAGACTGAACAGTGCTACTCTCGGCAAAGGCCAAGGTCACGATTCTGGTTAACTGTAAAATTCTGAGAGAATGGGGCCCCAAATGGGGAAGAGACAGGAGACTGCTGAGGCAGGGGACTGGACACGTGAGAAGCTGTACGTAGTATGAATCATGATGGGAAGGAGGCAGTGGGGAGGACCTGGCTGTCACTGAAAGTTGGTTGGTT